CAGGCCCTGCACCTTCGGGCGGGGCTGAGGGGGGGAAGCTCCCTGTTGACCGGCTGCTATGCCGCTCCCTTGTTGGAGGCCCCTCCGGGCCCCTCGGCCGTGTTTTCCGTTGAATGTTCTGCTCTGGAAACACACGGAAGGTTTTTCCCCTCCGCCTCGGGGAAATAGTTCACCCCCCACTTGACTGTCGCTTGGTTGGGGGACACACAGACACACCCACAGAGGGTCTAATTGGGCTCTCCCCTCCCTCCCTCCCTCCCTCCCTTCCTCTCGGCAGGAGCGTCCTCGGCCGGCAGACCTGCCTGGAATGCAGCTTCGAAATCCCGGACTTCCCCAACCACTTCCCCACCTACGTCCACTGCTCGCTCTGCCGTTACAGCACCTGCTGCTCCCGCGCGTACGCCAACCACATGATCAAGTGAGTGCCACCCGGCCAGGCTGCCCGTCCGCAGGGGCAGAGGGGACACTGCCGGGGGCCGGAACGCAGCGGAGAGTCTTAAGTGGGGGAAGGGAGCCAAAGGGGTTCGAGGGGCAGCTCAAACTCAGCGGTGGAAGCGTGGGGGTTGCGTAACGACTGCTGCATCCCCCTCTTTCCTTGCTCTTTCTAGCAACCACGTTCCTCGCAAAAGTCCCAAATACTTGGCCTTGTTCAAAAACTACACGGCTTGGTAAGGCTGCCTCCAAGCATGCCCCCCCCCCCGTCCTTTTGCTAGCCAGGTCTCCTCCGCTGGATCCCGTAGCCCTGGGGAGGGGAGGAGGGCGGCCGCGAGGGTGGCAGCCCCTCTCCCAGTGTGTGCGGGAGGGAACGTGAGCAATTCTGGGCCGCAAATCCGACCCCAGCCTGACGCGTCCTTTGCGTCCTCTTTGCCAGTGGGGTTCGGTTGGCCTGCTCGGCTTGCCTCTTTGCCACGTCGGAGGGCGACGCCATGGCCAAACACCTGGTCTTCAACCCGTCTCACGAATTCAGCAACGTCATTCTACGAGGTAAGAAAGGGCCTGATCCTCTTTCTTCTACTTTTCCTGGGGAGGGAGAGAGGGAGGGAGGGAGGTTTTGCTGCCCCCCAGCCCAGCCCCGAATGGGATTCTTGCCGTGAGCTGAACCTCTTCTTTCTGCTTCCCACAGGTCCCGCTTGGAGTTCCCATTCAAGGTAAACCGTCGTGCCTTTTTCTGTCCCAGGGGATCTCGTGCCCTCCTTCCCCCGGGGCGATGCCACAGCCTCTCCCTCTCTTTCCTTCAGGCCTGCCCAGCCATTCGAAGGAGGCACAGTACCCTCCGTCTCCACCGCCTCGCCCAGCAAAGCTGCCACTGTGAACACACCGCCTCCTCTACCCGAGGAGGAGGAAGAAGAGGAGGAAAAGGCCCAGGAGGCGCCGCCGGTGATGCCCGAGCCGATGCCCGAGGCCAGCCGCTCTCCCGTCGTGGTCCAGGAGAACGAGGGCTCAAATGTCTCTAACGTCGACAGCCGCGATGAGGAGCCCGAGCCCAAGGAGGCGCCCGAGCCCGTCAGCAGGAAGGAGCAGCTCTCCGTGAAGAAGCTCCGAGTCGTCCTCTTCGCCTTGTGCTGCAACACCGAGCAGGCGGCAGAACACTTTAAGAACCCACCCCGGCGGATCCGTCGCTGGCTGAGGCGCTTCCAGGCTTTCCAGGAGGAGAACGTGGCTTCTCTGTCGGAGGGCAAGTACCTGAGCCTGGAAGCGGAGGAGAAGCTGGCCGAGTGGGTCCTGACGCAGCGCGAGCAGCAGCTGCCGGTCAACGAGGAGACCCTCTTTCAGAAGGCAACCAAGATCGGCCGGTCTCTGGAGGGGGGGTTCAAGATCTCCTACGAGTGGGCCGTCCGGTTCATGCTGCGGCACCACCTCAGCACGCACAACCGCCGGGCGGTGGCTCACCCGCTCCCCAAGGAGGTGGCGGAGAATGCCGGCTGCTTCATTGAGTTCGTGCAGGGCCAGATCCACACCCAGGACCTGCCCCTCTCCATGATCGCCGCCATCGACGAGATCTCCCTCTTCCTGGATGCCGAGGTCCTCTGCAGCGACGACCGGAAGGAGAACGCCTTGCAGACCGTGGGCACCGGGGAGCCCTGGTGCGACGTGGTCTTGGCCATCCTGGCCGACGGGAGCGTCCTGCCCACCATGGTCTTCTACCGAGGCCGCCTGGAGCAGCCGGCCAACGTGCCGGAGACGATCCTGCTGGAGGCGAAGGAGAACGGCTTCAGCGACGACGAGATCATGGAGCTCTGGTCGTCCAAGGTCTGGCAGAAGCACCTCGAGCCCCACAACAGCAAAAGCATGCTGGTCCTGGACTGCCATCGGACGCACCTTTCCGAAAAGGTCCTCTCCCTGCTGAGCTCGTCCAGCACCTTGCCGGCGGTGGTGCCGTCCGGCTGCAGCTCCAAGATCCAACCCTTGGACGTTTGCATCAAAAGAACGGTGAAAAACTTTGTGCACAAAAAGTGGAAAGAGCAAGCCAAGGAGATGGCGGACTCCCCCTGCGACTCGGACATCCTCCTGCAGCTCGTCCTGTGTTGGCTGGCCGAAGCCCTGGAGGTCATCAGCGACTGCCCCGAACTGGTGCAGCAGTCGTTCCTGGTGGGCAGCGTCCTGCCTGGCCCGGACGGCACGGCCAACACGCCCACCCGCAACGCGGACATGCAGGAAGAGCTGATCGCTTCGCTGGAGGAGCAGCTGAAGCTCCACAATGAACTGCAGGACGAGGAGGGAGACCTGAACCACGACGGGGGGAATCCGTCGGAGGAATCCGCTAACCCCGAGATCCTGCACCAGCTCTTCGAGGGGGAGAGCGAGACCGAGTCCTTCTACGGCTTCGAGGACGCAGACCTGGAGCTGATGGAACTGTGAGGAGGAATGAGATCAATTCCTTCTCTCTCTCTCTCTCTCTTTTGAAAAGATGCATTGTTGGAAGAGATCCCTTTTCCTCTTCTGCTTCCCTGTGGATCTCTGGCTGCCGGAGACACACGATACACACAAAACTCAACGAGAGCCGTGGATGCTGTTCGGTTCCTTCAAAAAGGAGGAGAAAAAGTTTTCCCCTCCCCCTTAAATCACTGTTGTGGCATTTCCTGAAGATATATATTGTGGGTGGATTTATTATTATTTGGTTTTCGTTTTGCATTTCCTTTACCTCACTGTATTATAATAGTTTCTGGGTTTTTATTTTCGTTTTATACTGTGCAAAACAAAGTTTTTAATTACGCCACATTATCAACGTGACTTTTTTGGGGGGGAAAGGCAAGGAAAAGAGATTCGTAGCCGACGGAAGATTTCTCAGTCTTGCTCTTTCTGTTGGCCGCAGCCACTTATTTTCATTCTTTTTTTTTTTTCCTATAACACTCGGACCCAGAAACGTAGAAATTTCAACCCCCCTCCAAGCTTTGAATAATTTACTTTGAACTTTGAAAAAACGTGCCCACAAATAATAATTGGAAGATTGCTTTATGGGAAAGGAGGCGAGAACAGCAATTAAGCGCAGGCATTATTGTTTAAGGGAGGCAAAAGCTCCCTGAATGTTTTTGTACGAAACTTGGGACGTGTATGGTAAAAGCAAAGCAAAAATTCACTGGTGCAGATTTCATAGCCGTCGAAGCAAAACCTTTTCAAAGTTCCCGGTGGCGAAACGGTGATCCGAGTTGGTACCAAGAGAGCAAGTGGGGGGGGGGGGGGGACAGTTCACGCCCCACTGCGACCCTCTTTCGCGGGGGGCCGATCGCAAACGGATCTCCCCTGACGTCGCCTTTTAAAAACTCTGCGAGCTCCTGACGCCTTTCGAACGAGACACTACGTTCCCTGACCCAAGTGCTGCAACTCAACCCCCGACGTGCACAAAAACGAGGGAAATGTCCTGTTTTATTTTACACTGCCAGCATAAAAAGACAAGAGACATTAAAAAAGAGAGAGGTGTTTTTTCTACTGTTTGCATGTTTGAGAGTTTTTTAAAATTGTCACGTATTATTGGTCTAAAATGACGAGAAAACCTTTGGACACATAGAAAACCACCCACCACCCGCCGTCTCCTCCTGTGCATCTTTTTTCTGTTTTTCCTTTGAGGTTGGGAGGAGAGAGCAAAAGAAAATACCTTCCCCCCATCTTTTCCCTCCCTTTCCCCAACCTCCCCAAGGCCAAACTCTTGAGGGAAGCAGGAAAATAGGGTTTGCTGACCTGTAAATGGTTCATCTTTGAAATGTACATATGTGGAACATTTAATAAAACCAGGGAAATGGATTTATAAACACGCGTTTTCATTCAAAAGAGTTTGGCAGCCAGAGAGGCAAACCTGGGTTTGAAATGCAGCTGGGTTCACAAATTGGACTTTGTGCGGTTTTGAGAATTCTATCCTGGTTTGAGCAAATTTAGACCCAGGGATCCTGGTCTCTTAAAAACGCTGCCCTCTAGCTGTGGAGCTGTGAAACCCAGGCCGATGGCAAGTGGGCCCCTGCTTGATAAGTCCTCTGGGGATTAGTATCCCCCTCCTCTTCATTTCCTCTTCAGAGGCTCCCATTCTATAAGAATTGAAAATACTGCCCTCTAGTGACTCAGCGAGGTCACTGCAGACTCTTCCAAGCTGCTGCCCGCCCTCTGGTGGCTTAGCGCGGTCACTGCAGCTCCTATCGATTTTGCTTTTGGATCAAACAAGCAGGGTTGCTAGATAGTTTGGCATGTCTGAACCACCCTCCAGGCCCTTCCATGCGGGAAGCAGAGATCTCAAACTACCTACGCTAGAATCCACGGCGTACCTGGGGTTGCTAGGTAAAATGCCTTTTTTTTCAGGTTCTGGTAGAAGCTACCCAAATGTGTGTTAACCTCTCGGCTGGTTTGGAACTCTACCTGTGCTGGCAGGGGATTATGGGAGTGGAAGCCCAGCTGTTTTGGGAGGTTGCAGGATGAGGAGATGATACCGACGAGGAACCCCCTAAAAGTCTTGGAGAAAACACCCCTCTTGAACCTGAACATTTCCAGAAAATTTTCCGCACACACACACACGAGTTGTAGACAGTCAAGCATCTTTATTAAAGAAAAGGTGGCTCCCCCAGGAGCCTCAAACAGTATCACAAAGGATTTGGGGGTTTCCGTCTTCAACAAATAGAAAAACTTTTCCTGTTTCATTCGAAACCACTGCAAGAATGGGGGGGGGAAAAAACAAGCCACAGTTAACAGCAGGCAAACCTCCCAGCAGCCTTGAAAGTAAATCGCTTGTAAAATCCGGCGTAGGGAGGGAGGGAAAGCTGCCATCCGAGTTGTGAGAACAAGACCAAGAAGACCTTCTGGCCACCTTACCTGATCAGGTGAGCAATCTCCCAGTTGGTCTCCAAGGTCAGAGGTCCTTCCACCTCCACGCCTTTCTCGGTGACGGTGGTGATCTCGTACTGAGGAGGGAGACGAGAGGGTTAGGGCCCCCCCTCCTTGGGCTGAGGGGCCCCCCTTCAGAGGGAGACCCCCACCTGGGCTGGGGCAGGGGGAAAACCATACCCATATGCCCCTCCCTCTCTCACCCGGTTGAACGAGCGGGCGTCCCGGTAGTAGAGGATCCTCATGCACCGTTCAATGAGAGCTCTGGCCGCCTGCTGGGAAAGGTTGGGGGTCTCCTCCAGCGCCTCCCTCATTAACGGCTGCGGCGGGGTGAAAGAAACGGAGGGGGGTCAATTGCACAGCTTAAAAACTTGATGGAAACTGTCTCTCTCCCGCCCCCAACCCCCGGTCACTCGAACCCATCTCCGGCTTCCTGAATAAAGCCTGATCCCCAAGAGAAACCACGATGGCTTAGCACAACCGGGGAACCCAATTCCTAACCCGGGATCCCAACCTCACTGGATCGGGGAGGAGGAAACCGCCAGTGAATTTACTCCCTTGCCCACCTGTGCCACGTAAGACCCGTATCCGGTCGCCAACGAAGGCGCTTCGTAGGCCACTCCCAGCAGGTCGACGTAACCTAAGAAGCTGAGAGGGGAGAGATTTGAGGGGGCTGCCCCGGCTGAAGCCACCAAAACTGAATTATAGGCAGTTAATGAACTAAATTTATACGCGGCTCATCTTAACTGTCGGACGACAGTTAGCGAATGCAACATGGACACAATTTTTCGTGACTGGTGGTAGTCCTCGGCTTATGACCACAACGGAGCCCAAAATTTGTTGCTAAACAAGACATTACATGAGTTTCACCCCCATTTTCTTGGCTGGTTAAGCGAATCACTGGAGCTGTTAAATCAGTCATTTACGGCTGTTGAATGAATCTAGTTTCCCCATGGACTTTGATCCAAAGGTCGCAAAAGGGGATCGGGTGAACCCGGGGATTCTGCCACCGTCATAAGGACGAGTCAGTAGCCAAACGGGCGAATTTTGACCCTGTGACCACGGGGGAGGCTGCCATGGTGCGTGAAAAACTCATAAGCACTCCCACCCCCCCAAGTGCTGTTGTAACTTTGAACCAGTGGTGGGATTCAAAATATGTCACTACCGGTTCTCTGGGCGTGGCAGGGGAAGGAGACTGTAAAACCCCCAATCCCTCCCCCACCCCACTAACCTGCTTTCCAGCTCCGTTCTCCTGTGGAGGGCAATGAAAGAAGACCCAGCCGATCCGCTGGGACTCAATGGGAGGCAGAGAATAGAAGTCAGAGGTGGGATTGGCCGGTTCTCCAAACTACTCCAAATTTCCCCTACTGGTTCTCTACAACCGGTCAGAACCGGCTGAATACCCACCTCTGCTTTGAACGGCCATAAAATGGGACTTTGGGGCAAATGGAGCTTTTGAGAAATATTCTTCCGTCAATCAGCCCAGGGCATCGTCAAGCTTTTCCCTCCCCCCCCTCCGTCCGTTCCCGGCCTTACCCTTCCCCGTTGGAGTAGCCGCCGATGATGACTCTGTTCCAGAGGGGATTCATCTTAGACCGGTGGTTGTACATGACCCGGGTCAGCCAGGAGTGAATGGCCTTCGGGCTGTAACTGTGCCCGTCGCCCAGAAGGTCTTCGTCAATCCTGCGAGACAACGGAGGCCCAGCTGAGACGCTGCTCTCCAGCTCCTCTCTCGCCGGCCAGGCTCCCTTGCGAAGGGCCCGAAAGTCGGCCAAGGAGGTGAAGCTAGTAGCCCCATGGAAACAAGGGCCAACGGGACTCCCAACTTTGCAGCCCCACAAGCCAACTTACAGCCCCAAATATTTTTCTATATACAGGGCTGATTCGGTAGGGTGTGTTGCGATGTTGATTTTGGGGGTGTCCCCACCTGGAAGTTCTCCAGAAGTTTAAACCCTGATTTCAATCGGAAAGGCTCATGGGGAGCTGCTTAAGAGCAAATCAATGGATTTGCTTGGCTTCTTTTATCTTTGGGGGGTCTCCAAAGTTGGCCCCTTTAAGACTTGTGAACTGCAACCCTCAGAATTCTGGGAGTTGAAGTCCACAAGTCTTAAAGGAGCCAAATTTGGAGGCCTCTGCTTTAGTTCCCCCTCCTTTCATTGTTTTCAAGGCCAATCCAGGGGGGGGGGAGGAGCCAGCCGGGACCCCCCCCCCCCAAAAAAAGCCCTCCTGGCCACTTACACCATCTGCTCCAGGACTTGCTTGAGGTGCTGGAAGTCGGCATAGTCCCCTGAGGCGCCCAGGACGGTGCTGTCGTTGACCTTCATGATCCGGGAGAGGTTGCGGAATCGGGCCAGCGATCCGTAGGAGCCCAGCGTGTCGGCTGCGATCATCACCCCTCCCTCGAACTTCAGGCCCAGGACGGAGGTGCCCGTCACCATGGGGCTCCTGGAGGGGGGGGGGGGGGGGGGAAGAGGGGTAGGTGGGCAGGTAGGTGGGTGGATGGATAGATGGGGAGGGAGGGAGGGAGAGAGAGATCAGAGAGAGGAGAGACAGACGGACAGAAAGGACAGATACACATAGATGAGATAGAGTGCGAGAGATTAGATAAATGACATATATAGATGATAATTAGATAAATATACATAGGATGAGATAGATACCGTAGACAGATGTAGGTAGGTAAATACATTATAGTAGGAGGGAGGGAGGGAGGGAAGAAAGAAAGAAAGAAAGAAAGAAGGAAGGAAGGAAGGAAGGGTGTGTTGCCAATTCCTACAAAGGACCTTTAGGACTCAGGAAGTGTGTCGGGCGGGGGGGCTCTTTAATTAAAGGGGGGGGGGAAAAGCCCCCCCCCCCCCCCCCCCCCCAAAACCCTGAGCCACCAGGTGACCGTGGGGACTACAACTCCCATCCCACCTACGGAGGAGGAAACTCTAGTCCAGCACAGAGGCAGACCCTGATTTGCCCCCCTCCCCGCGGGGGGGGGCGCTTTCCCCCTCCCCCCATCATGACGTCACACACTGGGGGGGTCTCCCCCGTGGGAAGGGGCTTCCCCCCTTCTCCTCCCCTCCCCAGCCTTACAGAGTCCTCTTGGAGGCCTCGCTTTGGGCCCAGGCGTCCTGGGTCGGGCTGCCCAGTGGGAAGAGACTCCCCGGGGCGGGACCCCCGCCCCAGAACAGCGAAGGCAGCGGCAGCATCGCGGACGCCTCCATCTTTCCTTTCCCCGAACGGCCGCCGCTTAGTCACGGAGCAGGAAGAGGCGGCGCCACGGAGCATGCGCAGCAGCCATGTGAATTGTCCGCCGCAGCTCCCCGTAGGCCGGGAAAGGAGGCTCCGCCATGTTGGATGTGGGCGGATACGACACAAAGCGCCTCATATTTTAACTTCGGGGGCGGTTCTGCCGGGGGGGGGGAAGGGCAGAAGCGGGGAAGCCCAGTCAGCTCCCGAAAATCCCCGTTATGAATTTGATTCGGGGGTCGGGAAAATAGAAAGTCATCCGAGAGGAGGGCGCCATCTTGAATGTGGCGGCGCCGACGCTGGAAGAAGCGCTTCCGGGTCAGGGGGCACGCGGAGGGGAACTCCGCGCTTGCCCATTTCTAGGAGGGAGGATGGCTGTTTTTTGGGTGTTTTTTTTTTTTGGCAAATCTCCGCGCCCGAGAACGAAGCGCGTGCCACGCAATGAAGTGGGTTGGTGCATCCCTTGCACTGGCATGCCGTGGCGTTGCAAGTGAGGAACAGCAGCAATGGGGGGGGGGGGGGCGGGGAGCACGGGGGGACCCCCCCCCCCCCCGCCCCCAAAGTGGCTTTATGTGCTCCAAACCGGCCTGGGACACCTTATCTGCTTTGCAAGGACGGACCGGCTGGGAAAGCCCGGGGATTGATACATTTAACATTAAAATGTATTTGCAAAGATGCAAAAACTCCCTTTGTGGCTGTTGCAGGAGTCCGATGCAAGGACATTGAGAAATGCGGCTCTCCTGCCAGAGGAGTGACAGAGTTGGAAGGGACCTTGTAGGTCATCTAGTCCAACCCCCCACCCAAACAGGAGACCCTACACCATTTCTGACAGATAGCAGTCCAGTTTCTTCTTGAAAGCCTCCAGGGATGAAGCGCCCACAACTTCTGAGGGCAACTTCTGTTCCATCGGTTGATGGTTCTCACTGTCAAAAAATTCCTCCTTATTTCTAGGTTGACAATCTCTCCTTGTTCAGGTTCCATCCACTGTTTCTTCTCTGGCCTTCGGGTGCCTTGGAAAATAGCTTGACCGCCTTCCTCCTCTCTGTGGCAGTCCCTCAAATATTGGAAGATGCCATCCTGTCTCGTCTGGTCCTTCTCTTCACTAGACCAGCCGTGCCCAGTTCCTGCAACCGTTCCATGGGTTGATTGTTCTCCCTGTCAGAAAATCCCTCCAGGCTGAGAATCTCGATCAGTTTCCATCCATTATTCCTTGGCAGGAACATTGAGTTGCTGATGGACAGTTCGGGTGGCAGAAGGGAGAGAGGAATAAATCCAATAACGAAATAGTTTTAAACCCTATTTGGGTCATTGGCAATGTTTGTGGACAGCTGTTTGGTGGGACCCAACCCTCTTGGAGGGCTGCAAGACTTAACATTTTTACGAACTGGAAACGGAATATAGTGAATGAAACAAGAGTTGTGGCTTTCTCCAGCTCTTTTCAAGATCATGAGAAGTGTGAGAATAACAGAGATACAACCGAGATCAAGTGAGATGCTAATACCACTGTATAAAGCCTTAGTAAGGCCACATCTAGAGTCCTGCATCCAGTTTTGGTCACCACACTATAAAAAAGATGTCGAGACTCTGGAAAGAGTGCAAAGAAGAGCAACCAGGATGACTGGAGGAGAAAACATGACAAATGGTTGTAGGAACTGGGCCTGGCTAGTCTAGGGAAGAGAAGGACCAGGGGAGGCAGGAGAGCAGCCTTCCAGTATTTGAGGGGCTGCCCCAGAGAGGAGGGGGGGGTCAAGCTATTCTCCAAGGCACCCAAAGGCCAGACAAGGAATAATGGATGGAAACTGAACCAGGAGAGATTCAACCTAGAAATAAGGAGGAATTTTCTGGACAGTGAGAATAATCAACCCATGGAAAAGAACTTGCCTTCAGAACTTGTGGGAGCTTCATCACTAGAAGCTTTGAAGAAGAGATTGGAGTGCCACTTGGGCAGGGGGGTGGACTAGATGACCGACAAGATCCCTTCCAACTCTGGTTATCTGTTAATAAGCAGCATCCAAGTATCGGAGAAGCCCCAGATTGTATGGGCAGAGGGAGACGGGAAAGTGGCACCACTTTTACTGACCACTCAGCCATTTTTGTTGTCGCTTTTTCTGCTTTGCCTGGGAAGAAGAAGAAACCCTTTGCAACACTGCCCATCTCATTCCAGCTGTTTCCACTTCAGAGCAGCAGCCGGAAACCGAAATATGACCTTGGCTCGCTTGTTGCTTGTTCGCATTCCTGCTCCCTCTCCAGGCTGCTGAGCTCCTTCATCTTTCGTTGAAAAACCAGCCCTTTGGCCCTCCAAAGTCCTTTCTTTGCGCATGTTTTTTTTCCACTGCTTTTCACCAGCAGAAAAGAAAGTGACAGCCTGCTGATCTGATTCGACCTAACAAGCTCCTGATCGCCCAGCGCAGAACATAATTGGGGTGACCCGTGTGGGACAGTGACGTGCCACCCTGAATCCTTGGGGGGGGGGGGCGGTGAGGATGGGGAAGAAGGGAAGCAGGATTTTATTCGGGCTGCTCTCGAAGCGCTGAAGGGAGGATGGGATGCTGTTCCACCGGAGAAGAAATCTCTGGGTGCCCCTTGCTGCAGTTGCTTTGCCTTTAAAAGCTCCAAGGACAAAGTGGATTAAAAAAGAAAAAGGTTTAGAGGCAGCAGGGAAATGTTAAATGATATACTAGATCGCGTTTTGCAAACATGCCATAAATGAACACTTTTGCAACACGCAGAAAGCGCGCATTTGCAAACGGGCAGCAAATAAGCATTTGCAAGGAGATTGCAACAGAAACACGGTGGGTGAAACCTAAGTCAAGATGTCCCCAATTTGTAATCTGGGACGTACCGAGTGGGCGGGGGAGAGCTAACCTCCAATTGCTTCTGTCCTCTGCAGAAGTTGAAGATTTCAATGACAGTCTTTGTCATGGGTGGATAAAGGATCAGAAAGAAACTGGAGTTTCCTCTTCGACCGGGCATTGTTCTGCAAAGCCGCTGGAACCACAATGGATTCAGGATCTATGCCGCCTTTGTTTCACTTCATTTACCAAAACAAACAGGAGGTGGGAAGGTTTTCCTCCAACCCTGAATGAATCCTATTGGAGATCGCTTATGTATACCATCAAGTCACCGCCAACAATGACTAGTTAGACAGACAAAAAGACATTATTAAGCTCAGGTTTCCCTTTTACTTGACTTGGAAAAAGTGTTCAGGACAAGAAATATAGAAAAACTATATAAGATACAGCAGATAAATAAATCTCCCACCAAAAACAGTGGGAGAAACCATCTTTAAGAGGGACATATGACAAAGCCAAACCCTTTTATTTATTTATATTTATTAAATTTATATGCCTCCCACCCAGTGGCTTTGCTGCTAGCAGCAAGCCAACTGATATTTCATTTCTTCTCTTTGGCAAAGGAAAGTGCTTATGGTGAGAAATGGAGCAGAGGGCAATTCTTAGATCAGAGCTGGCAACTCCAACCACTGGTTGGACTGCAGTGGTGCCCGCTTACTGGGAGCACTGGGCAGTGGCAGAAACTCCAGACAAGCCAGGGAAATGGGAGGAAACGGAAGACTCAAAATGTTGTCCACGCTTCCTTAACCCGGAAGGAAAAGCGGGTGGGGTTGGTTTTGCCTCCAGCCGGGGAATTCTGGGAGTTAAAAGTCTACCATCTCAAGGAGTTGCCAAGAGTGAAGAAACGCCGCTCTAGGCTTTGGACAGTGCTGAGTGGACTGTGGACCAGTTGGGAACCATGGACCACGACGGGCACCATGGGCCATGATGCACTGTGCAAGATGGGAGCCATGGACCATGGTGGACCATGCCCCTGTTGAGCACCAAGGGCCAGTTGGGCACCAGAGTTGCTGGGCATCATGGTGTTGGGAGTTCCCAACTCCAGAGAGCTGGGAGGATGGAAGCCAGAGTCCCAACTACAGACAGTACAGCTGGGGAGAATGGGACTTGGGATCACACACACGTTGGCAGCGGAGCCTGACCCTCCTGAAGGGGTGTGTGTATGTGTGTGTGTCTTTATTTGGGTGTGTGTTTGGGGGTTTTCTCCCATTTCTGCGATGAAGGAGCCTTCTGCAGCATCTCCCCGGCCCCGTTGCTAGGGAGGCGGCCTCCCCTCCCGGTTGCTAGGGCTCCCGGCCCCTCCCGCCCAGAAGGGAAGGCGGCGGGGCGGGGCGGAGCGGGAGAGGGGCGTGGCTCGGCGCCGCGGGCTGCGCCAATGGGGAGAGTCGGGGGCGGGGCCGAGGCGCGGGCTCAGGTAACAGGTTGCGCCCTCCCGGGGCGGCGGCCAGAAGCGGAGCGGAGCCAGAGGCGGCGGGTGGGCGAGGAAGCCGGGCGGGTAAGAGGAGGCGCTGGGTCAGTGGGTGGGTGGGCTCCCCGTCCCCCCCCCGTTCTCCTGCTGCCTTCCTGGGCTCCCCACCGCCGTCCCGGATAGCGACGGGAGCCCCCCCTTGCTCCTCTGAGTGTCCTGCGGGGGGCGGGGGAACAGGAGAGAGTCCCAGCTCCCTTTTGCCCCCCTCCCACCCCGGGCATCCTCTCTGCAGCGCTGCCCCCTCTTTGCATGCCCGCCCTCCCTCCAGGACTACACCGCCCATGGCTCCCGGCAGGCCCCTTCGGGGCTGCTTCCAGCTCAGCCCCCCGTCCTCTCCCGCTGAGCCGGACTGCAGCTCCCGTGCTCCGCGGCCGGCGGCCAGGCAGAGAAGCCTCCCTCCATCCCCCGCTTGGGTTGGGGTCGCTTGGCTGGAGCCCCCGTCCCCTCCGGCCGCCTTCCTCCCGCGGGCGCCCCCTGGCCTTTGCACCTGGGCGAAGGACGGGGGAGGAGCCCCCCGTGCCCGCTTTGCCCAGCTGGCATTACAGCCCCCCCCTCCCCGCTGCCCTCGCCTCGAGTCTGCAAATGGGGCCAAGAAGCAAGCTTCGCCCCCCCCCCCGCCCACCAGCCCTTTGACTTGGGTGGGCAGGGGGTCCCCGGGAGGGTCCCGGAAAGGCATGTGGGGACTTTCGGACCGGTGACCTGCCTTTTG